CACACACACACACACACACACACAGCTGGTGTCAGAAATACATTTCACTCAACAGGGAAATAAGGAAAGGAGTTAAAGGAGAAGGGAGTGGAGGGAGGGTAGATTAACAGACGGATTAATTCCCAGCAAAATAGGACTCTAAGAATATACAAAAATATGTACAACCCTTTTTTGTGGTAGGAAAGACCTGGAAACCAAGGGGAGGTGGGTGCCTATCCACTGGGGATTGGCAGAACAAATGATGGTATATGAATGTGATGAGATACTATACTATTGTGTTGCAGAAATGGCAAAGGGAATGGTTTCAGAGAAACAAGGGAAGACTTACATGAACTGATGCAAAATGAAGTGTGCAGAATCAAGAGAACAATTTATACAATAACAATATTGTAAAGACAACAACCTGGAAAAACTTAGGCATTCTAAAGGATAGAGGACTTTACAGAGAGGTTCTTTCCTGTCATGATTACCAGAGGATTCTACAGTTCCTTGTTGGTTTTCATTGTCAGTATGTTGTGGCTAACTTCATCAAATGGAATAACCTTCTGGCATAACTGCTACTGACAACATGCAAAGAATAAAAAAAAACCACAAAGGTGAACTTCTGAAGGATGTGATGCTGATGGGTGTGCGCACAGGTCTTTACAGAAAGGTGAAAGAGTCAAAGTGCAGAAACACTCTTTTTGGGGCAGCTAGGTGACACAGTGCATGGAGTACTAGTCTTGGAGTCAGGAGGACCCGAGTTCAAATCTGGTCTCAGACACATAACACTTAACTAGCTGTGTGACTCTGGGCAAGTCATTTAACCCCAATTGCACCAAAACCCCCGCCCCCCAAAACCAGAAACACTTTTTTGGACATGGTCAGTACAGGAATTTGTTTTACTCAACTATATATTTGTGACAGGGATTTTAAAAAAATCATTTCTCCATTTGGAAGGGGGGTGAGAAGACAGATTTTTGCTAACTGAAAATATTAAAAAAAAAATTTTTAGAGATATTGCCATTGCTTTGCTGTTGCCCCCTAAGGAACATGGGGTCTTTCCACCTGACTTGCAGTTGAAATCTTCTATATTTCTCTGTCTCCCCCTTTCAAATGTGAGCTCCTTAAGAGCAGGCACCGTCTGACTGTTCTATTTGTATCCCCAGCACTTGGTGTTGTGCTTTGCACATCGTGAGCACTTAATAAATGTTTTATTGACTCATTTATTCACACGGTTTTGCATTGGAGACCACTTATACCAACACAATATGACTGAATCAAGTAGTCAGACCAGGCTTACACAATCGGCAGCCCTCTGGCCACTTGCAGCGTGCCAAAGGATTTCCAGTGGCCAGAGAAAAATGTAGAGGAAATCCTTTGGTGTGCCAGAAGGAGCCCAGGGGTCACAGGTTGTGCAGGCCTGGGTTAGACAATTCAGCATATAAGCTAAAGAATAGAGTGACTACACAGATGAAGGTCATTACCAGAAGAACCAGCATTTGGACTAATACTCAAAAGATAGGGAAAGAAACCCATGTGAGAAGGTGAATTTGGTTGCCAAGAATCGTGTTCCTGGTAAAGGACCCAAACATCTCCAACAAAAACTTCCCCTAGAGATACAAAAAGGCTTGATGACCTGTGCGCGCCCCCATCAGCATCACGTCCTTCAGAAGTTCACCTTTTTGGTTTTTTTTGTATTCTTTGCATGTTGTCAATAGCAGTTATGCCAGAAGGTTATTCCATTTGATGAAGTTAGCCACAACATACTGACAATGAAAACTAACAAGGAACTTCAGAGTCCTCTGGTAATCATGACAGGAAACAACCTTTCAATTTATTTATTTATTTTTTAATTTTTAGGCAATTGGGGTTAAGTGACTTGCCCAGGGTCACACAGCTAGTAAGTGTTAAGTGTTTGGTCTGAGGCCAGATTTGAACTCAGGTCCTCCTGACTTCAGGGCTGATAACTCTATCCACTGCACCACCTAGCTGTCCCAGGAAACAACCTTTCCCAAGTCAGTGAGTCTAGAAGAACCTGTTTAGCACGTCCGTTCTCCCCTGACCCCGCCATATTTGAAGCCCAGAAAAAAAAATCATTTATTTGCTTTTTGGTGAAGCAATCAGGGTTAAGTGACTTGCTCAGGGTCACACAGCTAGTAAGTGTCAAGTGTCTGAGGCTGGATTTGAACTCAGGTCCTCCTGACTCCAAGGCCAGAGCTCTATCCACTGCGCCACCTAGCTGCCCCCAAAATTTTATTTTTAAATATAAATGTTTGATATTATATTGCTTACCTTCTCAGTGGGTGGGGGAGAGGTAGGGAATTTGGGACTCAAAATTTAAAAAAAATGTGAAAAATAATCAAATAAACAAATGTAACCGAAAAAAGTATGTTTGCTGAAAAGCGGGCTGTGCAAAGATTATTTGGCAGTAAACAGAAAATAACTGGTCTGACTCTGAAGGAAGCAGACCTGGGGCCTGACTAGATAAAAGCAATACACTAAACCTGGAGGCCCTGCTGAAACAGGCCAGGGCCACAGCGCTGGATCTGAGGCCACAGGCTATACTGGAAATTCAGTATGAGAACAAATCTGGCAGAGGTCTTGGGCCTGCACTGGAACTTTATGCACTACTATCTCAGGAACCACAAAAGGCTGACAGAGGCTTTTGGAAAGGAGAAGAGGGGATGCTTTCCTAATCCAAAAGGAAGTGGAGAAGGAACCAAGCACACTCAATACCTCCCGAGGCTGTGCGGACTTCCTCTAGCACAACAGTCATGCCAGCTCACATTGCTAAAGCGAAGATCAAGTTTCGCTCTTTAGGAGAATGAATGACCCAAGTTAGCCTGGATCCCGAAATCCTGACCAGCCTGGCCCTTTGTAAGTGAATGCTCCCACCAGAAATTGTGCTCAAGACTGGTTCGATCCAGACGCGGGGGTAACCTACAAGGCTGGGGGCTTCTCGACACCGAACTGATGAAGGAGGTAAGGTTATTCCCGTCAAGATCTAGAGGAGCGCAGATAAGACTGAGCACCAAATGAAGGCGCTTAATTCATTTGGAGATGGACGTGAGTCAAGCTGTCATCTTCAGTATCCCTAGGGGCTGGACCAGCTCCCCAAAACAGTAAACACTCAGGAGGCAAAGAAACCGGTGGCATGCTACAGATCAGGTCGTGGCTTTATACATAACAGTCAAGGATGAAATACTTGTTTGAAATGCTTCCAGAATTTGGATCTTCCTTTGACAACCGTCCAAGACACTTGGCTCAGTCAAGGACGTCTCGCCCTCAATAACGCCTCGGGGATATTCTATTGAAACGTGTGGAAAAACCATGGACAGCTTCAAGAAGGCAGCAACCATTCCATCTCTCTTGATTACAACAAAAAGTATAAAGTCTGCCTATTTCAATAGGATATCTTTTCCAAATGTTACCACCTGAGTCAAGGAAACATATTCTACCTTGCAGAAAAACAGCTTTAGGATTAAAAAAAAGAAATACTTGGTTCCTATTTCTTTATAGCCCATTGGCCTTAAAATGATCAGAACCTAAAAGAAGTTGTTGTGACAAGATCTCTTAAGCAAGGTCTCGCTTAGATTATCATTTATTTGACAAGTAAAGTTTTCACATGTGTTTTGCTGCGTGAAATATGATAAGGGATATTCTTCCAGGCTGGAATAATAAATGTCAACATGCATTTTAAAATAAAAGAAGTGAGCCAAAGTGGGCAAACAGCCCTGAAATCTTTACCCTGGATATCGAATCCTGAGATGGCACTGACAAATGAACAAACCCCCACACTTACCACGCTGATTACTTCCTTCAGCCAGCTTTTATTAAAAGCAGCTCACAGGGTCATAGATTCAGACCTGGGCTGGGGGTGTCTTTAGAGGACACTTCATTCAATCCCACATACCTGATTAGTGATTGGAGACCTGGAGTGACCTGCCCGAGGTGCCTGGGTAGTACGTGACACCCAGATCATCTGGCTCCAAATCTCAAGTTATTTCCCCTGCATCCGCTCTTCATATTTAAAAATGTTTTACTGATGCCTTTTGTTTTTATATCCTAGTTGCTTCCCACACTCTCCTCCAGAATTCCACATATTCATTATTTCTTATCACACAATAATATCACATGCAGTGTATTTTCGGCCTTTCTCCAATCCAGTGGGAAACCACCATGATTCTAGTTCCTTGTGACCACAATAAGAGCTGCTATGAGCATTTTTTTTGGGGGGGGGAGTGTATACACACACACACACACATACACACACACACACACACACACAGAGCCTTTGACTTCCTTGAGGTATATGGTGGGGTTGCTAGATCAACGGGTAAGGATAATTTAGTCACTCTTTTTTTGCATAATTCCCAAATGAAAAATCTAGAAGAGCTGAACAACTTTGCTGCTCCACCAACAATGCCTCTGTGTGTGTGCGTTTGTGTCTTCTCACAGCCCCACCATCCCTGCCTGCTCTCATATTTTTGCAGAAGAAGGTGAAACCTCAGGATTTAAAAAATTTCTATTTCTCTGTTAGTGATTTAGAGAATATTTTAAGGATTTAATTTACATTTTGTGATTTTTTTTTTCAAATTGTTTGCTCACATCCTTTAATCATTTACCTACTGGGGAATGACTCTTGAGGTTGCATATTTTTGACGACTCCCTACCTATTTTGGATACCAGGTTTTTATTGATGATATGTGATATAAATAGTCTTTCTCCACTCTACCAGTTCTTGAGTAGAAAATGTATTAATAAGACTTCATTTACCCTTGTTTACCTTTCTGGTAGAGATGCTAATACACAGTGAAACAGACAACAGGCAGACAGCTAGAGATGGAGGAGAAGCCAAGAGAACAAGTAATCCCAAACTGGATAAATCATCCCTTGAATAACTAATGTTTGGCCTTAATGTAAATACCAGAGGTGCTCGGGATAGAACGTTTTACAATGCTCATCCTGGCTGAGAAAGTTCTCTGCTAATAAGCACACTGTCCCACCTCTCAGCATACCTGTTCTGCCAGCCAGGCAATGTGTCTGACTTCCTTGCTGCCTCCAGCTGTACAGGTAGCACCGAGCATGGCATTGAGTTCAGCCAACACCTGTGGCAGGAGAGCCATGATGTTGGTGTGGATGGCTATGAACCACGAGTGGGCGGTTGCAGTGTCCTTGCAGCGAAGGATCAAAGTATTTCTGCTATCAGGAGAATGGAGTTCTATCAATCTGTGTGAAGAAACAAACAAAAAGAGAACTAAATGCACCACGCATAATAAGATCAACTTAACCTCGACATTTTTACAACTGAGAGCTCCTATCTCCAGATTCCCCCAAGGGGCCCCTTTTCTCAGAAAACCCACATATGCCAAAACAAATATTCAAAAGACCAACTACAGACCTTGTTGTTTCTGCATTCATAGTGATGCTTCTGTTGGGAGGAGCCAGTCGGAAGGGATATAATATTGTTTACATCACTATTTATCATGCAATCCTGACCTAGTCTCTCTAGAAGCTGTGAAAAGTTTATCTGTCAAAACTTACAGGCATGTTATAAACAATGAGGTAAGGCTTTTAAAATATTTACAAAACTTCCAGTACATTACCAAATGGGGAACATAATTTTCCTGAGTGGCAAGAATAATAATAGTCTTTTATGAAACAATATTTTTAATTTCAGGGATCTTAAAAGAATCATTATTTATTTTTAACATATTTTTAAAATTTTTGAGTTCCAAATTCTCTTCTTCTCTCTAGGACCTCCCCCACCCAACTGAGAAGGCAAACAATATATCACTTATACATGTGAAATCATGCAAAACATATTTCCACATTAGCCAGGTTGGTGAAAAAATTATTTGGTGATATTTTCAAGAAATGGATTAGCATTGATTAAATATTTTTATGAGCTATTAATAATGGTAGAGCAACAAGTGAGATGTCTGGTGCTAAGAACAATTACTTTTATCTACCTGATAATTAACAAAAAATTATCATTGATTGATTAAACACTTTTAATGCAACTGAACAAACTATTTCTAGATCTATTTAAGAATTCTGGGTATTAGTTCACATTTTGGACAAAGTTCCTCCCTAGAGGAGCTTAAGCATCAATAAATGAAGAGGTAACAGTGCAAAGACAATAATACATTCTAGCACTGTTTACACATCTTTTGAAAGGGAACAAGAGAGCTCATGGTCTTTCTTCACCAAGGCCAAACCCTCCACCGGTGCCCTCAGTCCCCTAGCCTGCTGTCCCTAGGAGAATCCCTCCTCCTTCTCCTCCTCCTCCTTTTCTCTCACTCGCTTTCTCTCTCTCTCACACTCACTCATATCTTCAATCTCTTCCTGTTTACTGGTTCTTTTCCTGCTCAACACAAACATGTCCAGGTCTACTCTTTGTTCCCACCCTTCCCATCCTGAAAAAAAGCCTTTTCTCTGAGCCATAACTAGGAATATTTTCAGTTGGATAAAAGCAGTTAGAAGGTCACATGGATGGCATTTCTGCCACGTTTATAGTTGTACCAGAAGGAGGGACAGCCTGACGCTCCCACCTCTGGGTTTGGAAGGGGGGAAAGCTGAGGCCTACAAAAAGTGGGCATTGGCACTGCCACTGAAAAGAGGGGCGAAATGCTGCCATCTCCTTTCTCTACATGTGTTGTCTCTCTTCTGCTTGAGTCTCAAAACATTTGTCATTTCCTTGCCTCAGGAGATGAATGAAAACTCAAAATCGTAGCAACCCATGATAATCCAGAATGTCTGTCCCCTCTACAGGAGTTACACAATTAGGCCATCATCCTGCTCATTCAATTAATTCAACAAGGGATAATTGGAAAGAGTTACTAAAACCAACAGAATTATCTTCTCAAAAAAAAAAAGTGGGCATCAGGGCCACGGGACACTGGGGGGTTGGCGTTCCAGCCAAGACTGTCTGGCAAGGGCTGGGGAGGACAGTGAAGAATGTGCCACGCCTGAGCCACCTCCAGTTGTCGGAGCCTTGGGACCAAGTCCCCCATGGTCATTACAGCTCAGCCTTCAAGCTACTGTCCTAGAAATCGCCATCTTTTTCAAAGGCCTTCCCTCAGTTCTCCTCTGCTTCTCTGCAGCTAAGATTTCATGCTATTGAACACTGGCTCCTCCCTCGGCATCTATGACCCTGCTCTCTCCTGGTCCTCCTCCTGCCATCTCCTGTCCTCTTTGAGCATGGATATAAACATGGGCTCTGTCTTGGCCCCTCCTCTTAATAAAAGCCCACTGACTGGTTGAGTGATTGGCCATGATTCCTGGAGAGCCCACTTGGGTTAGACAGACAATCTCTATGGAGTGTCTGGGAGAGCCTTCATGTGGGAGATAAAGACCACTACTTGGATAGAGGTGGGAGGATGACTAGAGGTACATTCCTCTATCACAGTCATCAGTCAGCCCAAATGCATTGTGGGGTTGGCCTTATTTGGAGGGCTTCGGGTTTGTGGCCAGCCCATTACAGTGGGTCATGCCAGCACTGAGACCGAGGGGTAGAATGGCATCTCCCTCTCCAACCCGTCCTGTCAATCCATTGCTGCTCAAGGGCAGGTCTGACTATGTCGGCCTGGTGGTTCTCTAGGAACAAACATGACCTCTGTTAGTCCACTTTACAGATTCTCAGATCAAACTGGCCTTCTTCCTGCTCCCGCTCAGAGGCTCTCCTTCCCCACTTTGGGCCCTGGCTATCCCCTAGGATAGGGGCCTGGAACACACCTCTCTTCTCTACCTTTGGGAAAGCCTACTTTCCTCAGAGACTCGGATCAAATGCCACCTTTTACAGGCAGCCTTTCTGAATATTCCAGGTGATAGAGAGGGAGCTACCCCTTCCCACCCTTCCCAATAACCTATCCATTTTGTGTTAACTCTCAATAGAATAATGATGCATCACATTTATAGAGTGCCTCCCATAAAGGCACTACACAAGCCTTGTAGGAAGCTGGCCAAGCGCTTCATAGCTATTACCTCATCGGACCTGCCCCACGACCCTGGAAGGCAGATGCTGGTTTTATTTCTGTTTTGTTGTTGTTATTGTTCAGTCGTTTTTCAGTCATGTTCAAGCTCTCTGTGACCCCATTTGGGGTTATCTTGGTAAAGATACTGGAGTAGTTGACCATTTCCTTCTTCATACAGATAAGGAAACCAAGGCAAACAGGGTTAAGTGATTTTTCCCAGGATCACACAGCCACTAAGTGTCTGAGGCCAGATTTGAAATCAGGAAAAAGAGTCTTCCTGACTCCAGGTCTGGGCACTCTACCCACTGCACCACCGAGCTGTACAGCAGCTAAGTGACCCTGGGGCTCCAAGTCCGCAGCCCACGTGGCCTCGAAGCTCCGGAGGTCAGGGGCTGTTTCACTTTGGCCCTTGTATACAGATCACACTGCGCACTGTCTGGAACACAGAAGGTGTTTAATAAAAGCTTATTGACTGATAAGGTGATCTTACCATGTCCAAAATGAAACTTGCTACCTTTGCCACCAAACCCGTGTCTCTTCCCCAAGTTCCATATGACCTTTGAATGCACTGCCATCTCCCCAATCCCTGAGGTTCGGAGGCAGCTCTGGCCAATCCCTCTCCTTGCTCTCCCCATTTGGTCACTTGCCAATTCTTTTTTTGGCTAGGCAATGGAGTTAAGTGACTTGCCCAGGGTCACACAGCTAGTAAGTGTTATGTGTCTGAGACCAGATTTGAACTCAGGTCCTCCTGAATCCAGGACCGGTGCTCTATCTACTGTGCCACCCAGCTGCCCCTACTTGCCAATTCTTGTACCTGCTCCACTGACATTGGTCTTCCATCTCTATCTCCTTCCCTCTACTCATACAACCACTACCCTTGTTCCTCTCAACTGACCTGGACTACACAAATAGCCTCCCATTTGGACTCCCTGCATTGAGTCTTTCCTTTTGCCAACCTATCCTTCCCACAGGGGCTAAAGAATCTTCCTAAGGCACAGATCTGCCATTCTATGTCTCCCACTCAAAAGTTGTTAGTGACTTCCCATTGCCTGTGGCATAAAATACAAAACTCCTTAGCCTGGCATTTAAGGCTTTCCACAAGCAACCCCAGCCTACCTTTCCAGCCTTATTTCACGCATTCCACATTCTAATTAAAATGGCCCCAGAAGCCGTTCTCCAATCACGCCCTCCTTTATTTTCGCCTTTTGGTATTCTTCAAGGACCAGCTCAGATGTTCTCTACTCTGTGAAGCTGTCTATCATACCACCTGTTGCTGACGCACTGTCCTCCCTCCTTCTTGTGTCACATGCAATACCTGAGCTTGGTGGGGTGTTTTTTTGGATGCCCAACACCTAGAACAATTTAGCACATAGTAGGCACTTTATAAATGTCGGCTGCACTGAATCTAATCTAGCCACAAAGCCCAGGGAAGGTCTGGATACAGAGCAGACCCTAAATAGGAGGCCTATCTTAGGAACGCTTGACTCAACTATCCGAACCAGCTAAGAAAGTTACGGGGCTGCAAAAATGGGTCCAAATACCTGGATACTACTACAGTGTGAGAACTTGATTCCTTAGAAATCTTCTCAAGCCCTTCCTCAGAATCAATTCATTTTATCTGAGGAGAAATCTGCATGCCTGGCCTGAAGCTAATTAATGCAAATTTAACAAGGAGAAAAATAAAGTCTTACACTTATAGGTTAAAAAAAAAATCACCTTCATAAGTATAAGATGACAGCTAGATGAAGCAGTGCATACAACCCTGGGCCTGGAATCTAGAAGACCTGAGTTAAAATTCTGCTTCAGACACTTAGTAGATATGTAACCCTAGGGATGTGTTCATCTGTCTGCCTCAGTTTCTTCAACTGTAAAATATGGATAACAAAAGCACCTACCTCCAGAGATTACTGTGTCAAATGAGATAATATTTGCAAAGCACTTAGCACAGTGCCTGGCATACAGCAGGCGCCATATAATTGCTAGTTGTTGCTACTGCTATTACTATTACTATAAGATGAGTGGGAGCGTGAGAGGACAGGAGAGAAAGGGCACTACCTCAAACTCCTTTTCTGAGATAAATATGGTCCTTACACCAAACTCATGCAGGGTTGAAGCCAAAGAGAACCATGCCCAATATCACTAATGAATATTGATAAAAAACATTTGAAAGACATTTTAAACAAAGAGAATACTACAATATAACAAAAAAATTGTTAGGACCCACTTGGAGTTATAGCAGAGGTACAAATATAA